TATCTCTTTGCAATCTGATACACGTGTACAAATTCTCGTGGGAACAAGCTTCCAAATATGAATAAATGTATGAGTGAGCAGCACTGCAGTTTCACTAGGCATTTGCTATGGAGATTGCGCTTCAGATAAATATATTAATAGCTATATAAATAAACTAGATGGCTTACCCGGCTCCGCCCGGCCCTGTCATTATTTTATTCGTAACTAGCTGGCTTACCCGGCTCCGCCGTATCCGGACCAAACTTGGCACACATACACTTCGGGCCCCGGCGGGTGTCACAGTCCACTTTTCGTTATCGATCGATGTCGATTTTACCGATTTTTATCGATTTTTTGGCAGAGTTCACCTACAGGGCTAGGAGTTGGCACAGGGGGGAAGTGAGCATGGGGATTCCGAATACAATATTAGTTTTCAGAATTATCGATTGCTTTTATTGATTTTATCGATTTTTTGGCAGAGTTCACCTACAGGGCTAGGAGTTGGCACAGGGGGGAAGTGAGCATGGGGATTCCGAATACAATATTAGTTTTCAGGATCGTCCATTACTTTTATCGATTTTATCGATTTTTTTGCAAAGTTTGACCTGCGGGGCTGGGAGTTTGCACAGAGGGTAATCGAGCATGCAGATTACGAATACAATATTAGTTTTCAAGATCGTCCATTACTTTTATCGATTTTATCGATTTTTTGAAAATTTGAGCTAGGGGGCTGGAATTTGGCACAGGGGTGTTCGAGCATGCTGATCACCCCCCTTGGGGATGATCAGCATGCTCGATTACCCCCCTGTGCCAACTCCCAGCCCCCTAGCTCAAACTTTGCAAAAAAATCGATAAAATCGATAAAAGTAATCGATAATCCTGAAAACCAATATTGTATTCGGAATCCCCATGCTCGATTACCCCCCTGTGCGAACTCCCAGCCCCGTAGCTCAAACTTTGCAAAAAAATCGATAAAATCGATAAAAGTAATCGATAATCCTGAAAACCAATATTGTATTCGGAATCCCCATGCTCGATTACCCCCCTGTGCCAACTCCCAGCCCCGTAGCTCAAACTTTGCAAAAAAATCGATAAAATCGATAAAAGTAATCGATAATCCTGAAAACCAATATTGTATTCGGAATCCCCATGCTCGATTACCCCCCTGTGCCAACTCCCAGCCCCGTAGGTGAACTCAGCAAAAAAATCGATAAAAATTGATAAAATCGATATCGATCGATGACGAAAAGTAGCCTATGACACCCGCCGGGGCCCGTAGTGTATGTGTGCCAAGTTTGGTCCGGATCGGTTCAGAAATGGAATTTTCTATTCGGAACATACGTACACACAGACAGACAGACAGACATACAGACATACAGACAGACAAACAGACATTCAGCTTTATATATAAGATCAGCATGCTCGATTAGCCCCCTCTGCCAACTCCCAGCCCCGTAGCTCAAATTTTGCAAAGAATCGATAAAATCGATATCGATCGATGACGAAAAGTAGCCTATGACCGCCGGGGCCCGAAGTGTATGTGTGCCAGGTCCGGATCGGTTCAGAAATGGAATTTTCTATTCGAAACATACGTACACACAGGCAGGCAGGCAGACAGACAGACAGACAGACAAACAGACATTCAGCTTTATATATAAGATAAATAAATAAATATAATAGCTCCATATCTAACCCAGAGGAACAAGCGCATTTGTGGGTCTCTATATATCGGTATAAGCCAGTGGCGTACCGAGGGGGGGGGCGGGGGGGGGGCGGGGGGGGGGGCGCGCGCCCCCCCCGAGAACGGGTCGCGAAATTTTTGAAAGTTACTTACATGCGTTATAAAAATGTGCAAATGACTTGTTTATTTTTGTAAACAATTAAAATAATTTCTAAAATTTTTTAAAAATTCAAATTAGCCTTATAAAAAATTTTTTTTCGGGGGCGTGGCTGACGCCACGCCCCCTTTTTCCAGATTTTAGGGGTTGGGGGCCCGCAGAATTGTTGAGAAGCCCCCCTAAAATTTTTTCGGAGTGCGTGGCTAACGCCACGCACCTTCATTTAAAAATTTTTTTTGCCGCGCCCCCCCCCCCCGAGCCGAAATCCTGGGTACGCCACTGGTATAAGCTTGTGTTCCATTTGCGAGCGACCACAAAATAATATTGAGAATTGCTGAGTTTTGAGTCAGTCAAGCTAGTTCTTCCCGTACAATTCAATGAAAGTTGTAGTATCAATGATGTCTACAACCTTTAAAAAGTTGCCATCATAGATCAGTTGGAGCCAAGCAATCCCACAAAAAAAATGTCGACATTTTTGGTCTTGTAAAAGTTTTTTTTGTCGTTGAGTTGTGAAACACCGATGAAACATGTGGTGCTGAAATTATTAGGGCTGCCATGAGGAAAAATTTTTAGAATATGACATAGAATAGAAAATTCACTGATGACAAACTCACACGAGCTGACTTTGGAAGGCAGAGAGATTTATTGTGACTCATTCTTCAAAAAAAAAAGAATCTTGCTCCCAGATTATAAGAGTTGCAACAAGAGTGTGTAAGGTGCGCATATACAGTCGTTTTCAATACGTATTGGTTTTTTCTACCGTATACCTTTCAGCCTCAACATGGCGTGGATTGGTGTGGATTGGTATGGATTGGTGAGGCGCCGCATCGCTTCGGGCTTGCGCCGCGTTGCTTTTCTCGGCGGCGCCGCACCAATCCACACCAATCCACACCAATCCACGTCATGTAGCAGTGGTATCAACGCAGAGTACTAAAACCAATACGTATTGAAAACGACTGTACAGTCGTTTTCAATACGTATTGGTTTTTTCTACCGTATGCCTTCCACCTCAACATGACGTGGATTGGTGTGGATTGGTGTGGATCGGTGTGGATTGGTGAGGCGCCGCATCGTTCGGGTTTGCGCCGCGTTGCTTTTCTCGGCGGCGCCGCATCAATCCACACCAATCCACACCAATCCACGTCAGTTGAGGCTGGAAGGCGTACGGTAGAAAAAACCAATACGTATTGAAAACGACTGTACATACAGTCGTTTTCAGTACGTATTGGTTTTTTTTTACCGTATGCCTTCCACCTCACCATGACGTGGATTGGTGTGGATTGGTGTGGATCGGTGTGGATTGGTGAGGCGCCGCATCTCTTCGGGTTTGCGCCGCGTTGCTTTTCTCGGCGGCGCCGCACCAATCCACACCAATCCACACCAATCCACGTCATGTTGAGGCTGGAAGGCGTACGGTAGAAAAAACCAATACGTATTGAAAACGACTGTAAGCAGTGGTATCAACGCAGAGTACTTTTCAGTACGTATTGGTTTTTTCTACCATATGCCTTCCACCTCACCATGACGTGGATTGGTGTGGATTGGTGTGGATCGGTGTGGATTGGTGAGGCGCCGCATCTCTTCGGGTTTGCGCCGCGTTGCTTTTCTCGGCGGCGCCGCATCAATCCACACCAATCCACACCAATCCACGTCATGGTGAGGCTGGAAGGCATATGGTAGAAAAAACCAATACGTATTGAAAACAACTGTACATACAGTCGTTTTCAATACGCATTGGTTTTTTCTAATGCCTTCCAGCCTCAACTGACGTGGATTGGTATGGATTGGTGTGGATTGATGCGGCGCCGCCGAGAAAAGCAACATGGCGCAAACCCGAACGATGCGGCGCCTCACCAATCCATACCAATCCACACCAATCCACACCAATCCACATCAGTTGAGGCTGGAAGGCATACGGTAGAAAAAACCAATACGTATTGAAAACAACTGTATGTAACTTCACAATGATGCCTGCCTGGCTTTGTCTGTGGCAATAAACGTTGTAGCGTTTACCGGATCCTACAACGTACCGAGTACTTGATTACCGCACAACTAACAAAGAAAGGATACTTGCTGACCGCGCCCGTTTGAGATGCGATGTGTACCGTAAGAAGCATCTCGGAACACTGATTCTAAACCTGTCTTCGCTATCTGAGAAACGATTCTCTGAAGAAAGTTCTGGACGTTTTTAAGAAAACATTCGCGTACTCTTTGATAGTTGAAACCATCAGTGCTGGTGATTCGCCGTCTGATGCTACCTAAGGAAATCTTATGCAGGACTCGACACGAGATGGCTTTCCGAATATGTGAAAAAAGAAGTCCCCTTGACTTTGCCCAAATTTTACGAAGTTCCCTTTGACCCTAACCATAAACGTAAAACACCCTAATGAAAAACCGAGACGACTAGAAAGATAAAGAGTTTGTGTTTTTTCGGCCACAAAAATGATATCACTTTTAGTTTCTGCCCCAAAAAAAACAATATCCAGCTTGCTTACGAGCCACCTATGCCAGGGCCCTGATCTTAGACAGTGTTTTGTTGTAATTAGAGAAACTATTTTATGTTTAGCGGTTCAGAAGGCAGGAAAATTTTTATACTAATGGTTATGATCCTCCGCGGTACTGCTTTTATTCTTTAAAAAAGAATCATATCTCTGCCTGGATTATCGTTTCGCGGAAAATCGGTTTTCAAACTAGCATTCAAAAGAGCATTTTTCATCGTGCACTTCATTATGAATGGCCAGGTCACCAAATACCCTTGCCTAAGAAACTCTTTTGCTCGCAGGTCAAAAAAGTCGTATAGGATGCAGTGATGTGACCCATAAAGAGTGTTAGGAAGCTTTTATGTAAGCCCCTCGCATGGCCATTCTCTACACGCCTGAGTGCACAATCTACCTAATCCTTCAAGAGACTTCAATTGCATGCTTTGGTGTCCCTTCGCAGCATTTATAGCTTTTATTGAGAGCATCCGTTGTAATTGAAACCTCATTGCTTCCTTGCTTTTTTGCTTAGCATCTCACTGATTTTGCTCATACGCGGAATCTCCGCCCTTTCCCAAGAAGGAAATGCATTTGATTGCTACATTGCTTTGATTTTGCGAGAGCTCGTCTGTAATGTGTGCATTCCAACGAAGTTGACTGTCAAATTTCAGAGCTGTAATGTAGCAAGTTTAGTCCGGCCGAAAAAATGCTGATGAGGTTCCTGTCCTTTGCTGTGGTAGCTGTACTAATGGCTAGAGGTAAGAGGATAATTTACTAAATTTTTTTGTTGAAGTTGTGCAGTTGCACAAGAAGTCACGATCAAAGCCAAGGTTAAAACAATTTTAAAGGCGCGCTAACCATTTCAAACAATCGCAGATGACCTCCGAGGCAAATAGAACTTCTAAAATTTCCGAGAGGTCGCTCCTATTGAGCCGTGTAAGTGGGTCCGCCCTACCTGGCCCTCCCTACCTGGCAGTTCCAATGGAAGTCTTCCCCGGAATTTTTAGAACTTCACTTCACTTCAGGTCGCTCCTATGGAGCCTTGTAAGTGGGCCCCGTCCTACCTGGCACTTCCAAAGGAAGTCTCCCCCGGAAGTTTTAAAACCTCATTTTGCCTCGGAAGTCATTTGCGGTTGTCTGAGACAGCGTCTATCTGACAAAGAAGCAAAGGGTGAACGTTTAACTCCGCCCGAACCTAACAATAAAATAGCCTACGTAAGGCGACCGTGTAGGGAGGCTTACCACCTATCACCCGTCCAAGACCTACAAAGAAGGCGCAAAATTTGCTAGTTTTTTGATAAGCAAATACTCAAATAGTTCCGTAAGATACAAACGAAAGCTTCATTTTTTATTGCGTTCCCACAGAACACTAAGTAGATAGATAGCTGGCGGAAACGACCAGCTGTGTATAGCAGAAGGTCCACTACGATAGACAACCCATGGGAACGTGAGCTTTGGCAAAGTGCCAGAACTTTCTCAGTCAATAGCGATAAGTATTACATGCTTACCAAGAACCGATATTTCAAACGCTGTGAATAATTACAATGTCACAACGATTATGCACATAAGTAGACAAAGACGCAGGTAAAGCACAAGCTGCGCTATGAAGCGGTGCGTTCTGATGAGAGACTACTTGAATAGGAAATACGCAGACGACTAAGTTTCACCGCTACATTGATTGCTCCTTTTAGAAGAAGTCATGAACGAAAAATATTTTATCACGCTATGAAAAGTTCATTCAAAATTCTTACAAAAAAATTGTAGTGTTTGCTTCCGATGATGAGGAGCGGCTGATGATGGACGTGTTTCGCGGTTATAACAATCTGATTCAGGTAACCACACTCTTACGACTCTTCAGATAATCTTATATATAAAGCTGAATGTCTGTTTGTCTGTCTGTCTGTATGTCTGTCTGTATGTCTGTCTGTCTGTATGTATGTACGTATGTTCCGAATACAAATTTTTATTTCTGAACCGATCGGGACCAAACTTGGCACACATATACTTCAGGGCAGGGAGCGTGTCATAGGCTACTTTTCGTTATCGATCGATATCGATTTTATTGATTTTTTGCAAAATTCGAGCTAGAGGGCTGGGATTTGGCAGAGGGGGGTAATCGAGCATGCTGATCACCCCTTCGGGGTGATCAGCATGCTCGATTACCCCCCTGTGCAAAATCCTAGCCCTCTAGCTCGAATTTTGCAAAAAATCAATAAAATCGACATCGATCGATAACGAAAAGTGGGCTGTGACACGCTCCCTGCCCCGAAGTGTATGTGTGCAAAGTTCGGTCCCAATCGGTTCAGAGATAAAAATTTCTATTCGGAACATACGTACACGGGTCTAGCTGGCAGGCCCGGCGGAGCCGGGCAAGCCAGCTAGTATATATTAGGTCGTGTAATAAGTTCTGTCCCATTTTTACTTTCGTTTTTTCCTCAATATTTTGCGCAATGTTCTGCAAATTGTTCATATGCATTTGAAAGCTCTAAGCCTTCTCTACTGAAACTTCCATCTCGGTTTTCTACATTAGATGACTTGAAAAAGTTTTAAAGCGTTAAATTTGGAAAATCAAACAAGGAAAAAGTCCATTTTCGACAACTACGTTACGTCGCCCTCCTAATCAGTTAGAATGCCTAGGAATAAGCTCGAAAATTTGTTGCATGTAAGCAAAAAAGCTTGCTCTAGCTTCGATTGCGCTTCAGAAGTGCTGAAACTTTCCAAAAATTTTTTTTGTAGACTTCAGAAAAGTCTTCTTTCTAACGCCTTTTCAACGTTGGTGTTGGGCATCATCTGAAAGCATTCTGAGGGAAGACGGTGGGCAGATCATCCAGAAAAGACGGAAGAAATGATTTGTGGCTTCAAAGTTACCGAGTTCGTAGGTTAAATACTCAAAATTCGAATTTTGGGAACCACACAGCTTGGGTACGCGAGACGGCGAGCATCGCCGCGACATAGTCTTGTCTTGCCGACTTTTAAAAAAATGTCATTAAATAGACGGTGGAAGAAAGAGAACATGCGCAAACAGTGATAGAATAAGTGTAAAAGTCTAATAGATTATTTTGGTTTTCGTGAAGCTTGTTCAATAAGTTTTACCAATAAAAATCGAGAAAAATTTGGAGGGAAAAAGATGTCGAAAATTGATTTTTCGGCCCTTTGGATTTTTTGTTTCAATGATAAAAATCTTTTTCATTTCCTGCTATGTTGGAGAATGATGCATATGATCCTGTAGAGCAGACTTAGAGCTTTCAAAAACGTATACACTTTGTTTCAAATATAGTCAATGTTGTCAAGAAAAAACTGAAACAAAAAATGGGACAGAACTTATTACACGACCTAATATATATATACTCTATAAAGAACTATTTACAGCCAGTAAAGAACCTTAGCGACGTTCCCATTATAGTGAAAATTGCGCTGCAATTGGTGCTTCTTATCAATGTGGTAAGTCATTCAACTTTTTCAGGCACAGTTAAAAAATGAAAAAGGAGAAGGTGAAAGCATTTTTTTTCTGAAGCAATTATTCTATACGATCGAACACCTTTTTCAGGACGAGAAGGATCAAGTGATGCATACAAATGTTTGGTTAACACTGGTAATAAACTTTTTTGAATTTATTTGTCTGCTTAAGGTGGATAATTCTCTCTACCACAGAAATGGCACGATTTTCAAATGCGATGGGATCCAGTCAACTACGGTGAAATCAATCAGATTCGTGTCTCGCCGGATAAAGTTTGGCTACCGGACATCGTGCTCTTCAATAAGTTAGTGATTCACCATCATCGGTTGCTCGATAAGTAGCAGAAGTTCAAAAATTGTTGCAAAGATTTTACTGGCATCAGCAGATGATAAGAAAACACTATTCAGCTGGCGGTCAGAGGGTCCGGCAGGGGAGGGGGCGGCAAAAAAATTTTTTCAAATGACACTCCGAAAAAATTTTAGGGTTGATTCTCAGAATTTTTGCTGGTCCCCACCCTTAAAATCTGGAAAAAGGGGACGTGCCGTCAGCCAGGTCCCGAAAAAATTTGTTCCTAAGGCTAATTTGAGTTTTTAAACAGTTTCAAAAATTATTTTAATTGTTTGAGAAGAAACAAGTCACTTGCATATTTTTATAACCCACACCAATTTGCTTGCTTCATACTTCAAATGAGCAAGTCATGCTTTTTATAAGATTTTTCTGACTGCTTTTCTAATGAGCACCAATGAGCATACACTGCAAAACAGAATCGTGAAAGAAAACTACTTAAATTTTGATCTTCCTGAGTTAGGTCGTAAAAAATCTGACAAGGAAACGATACTCGGTGTCCATGGCCTTTTGAGATGAAAATATGCCATTACACTCGTCTTGGAGAGCTGATTCCGAATCTGACTTCCATTTTTGCTAATCGTTTCTTTGAAAAAAGTTATGAAGGATTTTTGCGCCAAAGGAGATATGGTCGGAATGCCAAAACCGCAGCTACAAGTGGTGTAGTGGCTAGTCCGATAGTCTCACAAGTTAACACATTGAACCGCTTGACACACATGGTGTGTCAAGCAATGACTACCCCGTGGGACCGCTTGACACACCATGTGTGTCAAGGCCTGAATTTTGTTAAAATAACTACTATACTTTGATAAACATACTCCACGAGCTTTCTTCTGCACTGAGTCTAGGGATGACCTCTACCGTTATTTGCAGCCTTTCAGATCTACTGTAGGTGTACTGTAAATGGCAGTATGCGTAATTATAGTTGATGCGGGCTGGTTCGTCAAAGTCCTTGGTCCCAGAAGGCAGACAACTAAAATTCTGCATGGTCGTCAATGTGTTAATGAAGGTTTAGGTTCGAGTCCTTCTGTGTTTTTCAGTTTTGCACTGCCTCAATCAAGCTTCTTTTTGAAAGTTACATTCTCGACCGTATTTCTCTTGGGCGACCATTGACGTAAAAATCTTTCATAACTTCTTCTAGAAAAACGATTAGCAGAAAAGGAATTCAGATTCAGAATCAGCGCTTCAAGATGAGCGTGATGGTTTATGTTTCGTCTCAAAAGGCCGCGGACACCAAGTATCGTTCCCTTGTGAGATTACAAAAATCGGAGGAGTCAGTATTATAAATTTGTTACCTGCTCTTTTCAAAAGATTCTTTGCTGACTGAAAGTTTCTATAAAAACTTATGAAATTCGAAAAAAATGCCAAAAAACAGCTTTAATATGTATTGATTACATATCATAGCTTTTCATAGAAACGTACAGTTAGCACAAACTTCGCTTAGTTCAAAAGAACAGGTAATAAAATCTATTACGCCGGCTCCTCCAACTTTTAATGTAAGTTTCAGATTTTTTACGACCAAACTCAGGAAGATCAAAATTTGAGTAGTTTTCTCCCGCGATTCTGTTTTGCAGTGCATGCTTATTAGAAAGTAGTTGAAAAACATTATGAAGAGCATGGTTTGCTCTTTCAAACAGAAATAAAGGCAAGCGAGTTAGCATGGTAAATCAACAGCTATGAATTTCTAAAATGGTTCGACGAAACTTTTGTTCCAACCTTATATTTGAAAGAAAAGCGGTTGTCGAGAAATCTTTTGTTTTAGCAGATCGCCACATTCCAAAAATAAGGTCCGCAAAGCATACTGACACATCCCAGCGAAATCTTATCTTGAATTTTTGAGTCGAGTGAATTAATAAAGTGCTGGTTCAGAATCAGATAAACCTATACTCAGCAAAACTTACGTTGCAATCCATTTCAATTTTTAGAACTTATTTTGTGGTTGACTTTTAGCTCTCTCGTACTATGGATATACTGGCAATAGTTTTGAGCCAATTTTTCAGTGCCGATGGAAACTACGAAGTGTCGTTCATGTGTAATGTGGTCATAAACAACCTCGGTGATATGCTTTGGGTGCCGCCAGCAATTTACAAGAGCTCATGTATTATTGGTCAGTTCTAGAAAATCGATAAATCGACTTTCCGCTATATATTTACTGTTCTAGACGTAGAGTTCTTCCCTTTCGATGAACAAGTATGCACGCTGGTCTTTGGATCATGGACGGTGAGTGTCATCAAAAAGTTTGCTGCACTTTAAAAGGGGGCGTGGCTTTTTATACCCATTAACTTTAGTATAACGAGAACGAAATCAAACTCGAATTCGAACAAGCTGAATGGGTAGATCTCTCCGAGTACTCAGCCTCTTCGATCTGGGATGTAATGGATGCACCAGCATCGTTAGTAAACAAGAGAAGTAGGATAGAATTTCAAGTTAGGATACGGTAAGTTTGACGCCCTTAGCCGATTTTTTTAGTATTTTCCTTTTATAGCCGGAAAACACTATTTTACACTGTTGTACTTATCATACCTACGGTTCTTATGGCCTTTTTGAGTATGGCGGTCTTCTTCCTGCCCACTGATTCAGGTTAAGTTTCTTCTCAGCTCTTACTCTTTGAACGATAAAAGAATCCAATTTACGTTCCCTCACTTTTCATAAAGTATCAAAGTAACATAGCATTAGGAAAAACAGTTTTGCTCATGAAAAGTTTGTAACAGTGACCTTTCAGGAGAGAAAATGACACTGACCATTTCCGTTTTGCTGTCTATTGTTGTGTTCTTGTTACTAGTGTCGAAGATTTTGCCTCCTACATCCAGCACGATCCCACTTATGGCAAAGTAAGTCATTTCAACATTATATAAACCGACATTTTGAAAAAAGAGGTGAAAGTACAAGATTGTCTCATTAGTGTACTAAGAGTCCTAATGGTCATAGATGATCCAAAAATATTCAAAAAAAAACTAGTCGATTCATAGTACTACACGCTTACAATGTATATGAGTGTTGAATTTTAGTATTCACGCTAGTTTTACCACAGAAATATCAAAAATTGAAAGTCATAACTTAGAAGAGCAGGTCCACAAAACGACACGTAAAAGTCACATGTGAATTTATCGGACCTTTTAGCATTGGGCAGAAATAGCAGAAAGCTACTGAAGCTCATTTTCGCTATAATTTTGTATATCCGCATGCCAGCTAATATTCTAAAGCAGCGAATGGTCAGAAATTAACCCAGCTATACCAAACGTGCTGTATATCTTTGGACTCGTCCTGAAACGCTGATCACAAACCTATGTTTATTATCGGCCAAGCGATCACCTGGGAGGAGTTAAGCCGTTTAAACGTGCAATTTGTCAAGCGTTCTGCGGCGCAGGTTCCACCAAATAGGTCAGAAAACATTTATTTAGATTTTTTTGTGAATGTGCTTCTTCCTCGTAATCAAAATAGCCATAGCCACTGTCAGTCTGCGCCATCAGGCTTCCTTTCAAGGAAATATATTCGTCGAAGCTTGAAAATTTTTCATATTGGAACGCTCATAACTCCTCCCAGATAGTCGCTTGGCAGATAAGAAACATATATTTGATCAGCGTTTCAAGACGAGTTCGCTGATATAAGATTGTTTGGAATGGCTGGGTTAAGTTTCTGGCCATGTCCTCGTGAGCAATGAGAAAGCAAGTAACTTCATTAATTCATCTTGAAGCAAACGAAAATCAAAAATAAAATAGTGTAAGGCTTATGGAACAATGCAATAACCTCTGATTTCACTTCCAGATATCTCCTGCTTACATTCGTGCTCAACGTGATTACAATTTTGGTTACTGTAATTATCATAAATGTGTACTTTCGTGGACCAACTACTCACAATATGCCAAAATGGGTTCGGAAAGTTTTCTTGGAGGTCAGTCTCTAATCTCTTCAATTGTTAGTGGCTCAACAAATTATTTGTGGCACACCTTTCAGTTTATGCCTCGTGCACTGTGCATGCAAAGACCCAAATCTTACACAAGAAAAGTTGTAAAGAAGCAGGATCACAACACCGCGCAGTTACCTGGAGTGGGACAGTTCACCTTAAATCCTTCGGCACATCATCCGTTTTGTCCGAGTGCGGATGAAAGGTAGGACTACACTAAAAATTGGGCGAAAAGTTATGAAAGAAGGCTGAAGGATTATTCTGTTTTTTTTTACTACACTTTGCATGCAAAAGTCTTGCATAACTAGAGGGCAGCAATTTGACAGCACAAAAAGAGTCACAACTTTCTCCTTTCCTTTTCCATTTTGGCCCTGTTAATCCAATCTCGAGAATTTCGCCAATGCAAATTCGAGGAGATAAAGTTGCTAATCAAATTAGTACAACTGCGAAGTCTGCAAACTGCAATGTTCCTTGTTGGGGACATTCTAGCGTTGTTATAGGATAGGAAACTATGTGATTCTGCTTCGTAGCAATGATGTAAAAATGTTATTATCATATCTGTAGTAGATCTTCGATGAGCTATTCTCAACAAACAGATTTCTTGAAAAAGCACACAATAAAAACCCTGCTAAATAGTAAATTTTTCAGAGAGAGTAGTCAGAGTGCCAGGTCTCTTTCACATGCGGTACAAAAAAAAGAAAGGACAGCTTTTTTATCCAAACTATCCGTAATTTCATTTTCAGCAATGCTTCACCGAAAACGCTCAACACCAATGATCTGACTTGTCATCCGGCCACCACACACTTTTATCCACTCTCTCCTGACGCCCTTAGGGCCATTGATGCAATCGAGTACATAACGGATCATCTGCGACGAGATGACGAATACAAAATGGTGAGTGGGGCATTGTAAGGACATAGAAATGTAAAAACTCATTGCCAGTGTTCCAAGCAAAAAAAACTATTTTGTACATCGAGTATGGGTACCATCGTCAAATATTTTTAGATATAAGAGGTGAATGTAGGAATGAAGGTCGTCTATAAGTTCTCGATAGTGGCTTGTTCGTCTGTGATGGATAAAGAATTATAAGTCATGTATACGGTTTGCATGCTATTTTACTTGGGCCCTACCTATGTAGTAAATCAGAAATTTTCTAAACTTTTTTGGAAGTCATTTACACACTTTTGCGTCATGTAGGGTGTATTCTGGTAGTGTTCATGATATTCAGCTAAAAAATCATAATTGCTTTGATCCGACTGACACAAATATGTATATTGATTGGCCCATCTTTACTATGGGGAAGGGAGAACTCGTACGGGATCTTGGCTGTAGTCAAATACAATTGTATATTCATGCAGCAAGATCTAATCTACTACCTTTAAAATTTAGAAAAATCAAAAGACAAATTGATTTGTTAGCTGGAAGAAGTTATATTTACTTTTCAAATTTTACAAAAAGCGAAGTTATCAGCTCGCACCCAATCCTTAATGTTTAATGCAATGGAAATTTCAGTACCGTGATGACTGGAAATATGTTGCTATGATAATCGACAGACTGCTACTCTATGTCTTTTTTGGGATTACTGTAGGCGGCACATGCGGAATTCTGTTTAGCGCACCGTCAGTATTTCAAGGTAAAGGATTTGCTTTAACGCTTTGATAACCTGCACTCTTTCTCGGCCATTGCAGTTGTCGACCAACGAGAAGTGCTGGACAAGCTCATCAATCTCTACAAAACCGGCGGTAATCCCGCTTAATCGCCAAGCAAATTGCGTACGGGTACATCTTCAAGCTCTAATTGTAAATTATTATATGTGTGTGAATAAATGTATGACCCCCGCTTGGATCTGGAAAACTCGTACAGCCCATCAGGAAAAAGGGTCGTGGGTGAGTTGTCGACACGAGCAGAGAGTGGGGATTTGTCTGCACAATTGTCTTACACTAACTATCGCGTCGATAATCGCCCATCACCAAGTGCCAGCGCAAATCGCCGCTGGCATATGGCAGCAATGACATCTCGTCCCTTATTACGAGCTCAAATTTCATATCAAAATTTTTCATTGATAATCGCCAAATTCTGATCATGCAACTTCATGTCTAAAAATTCACTGTGATCAAAAAATATTAGAGCTAAGTGACTTAGTTTCTATTTTATCCAACTAGTCTCAATTTATTTTTTATTGGCTCACCTATAAAATAATGTGATTGGAAAACTTTTTGAAGTTGAAGAACACTGCTATGACTCAAAATGGAGTATTCTAGCTTCCTCCAAAGAGATCTAAACCAAATCAAAATGGTTTCTAATCCGTCCAACTACTGTCTCACATATTTATTTTTTCCTGCTCACTTATATGATAGCACGCTTTGAAATCGTGCTTGAAATTGGCAAAGACTGCTTTAAATTCAAACTCAAAGTACCCCTCAACGCTCACTCTAAAAAAATCACTATCACAATTTTTTTGCCCTTGAAAATTGAACATTGTTTGCTGCATTATAAGCTGGTTTCATCCTCGAATTCTAAAAACCTAGAGCAATTTGCTATCACCATAACTATCAATTCAAACTCCTAATACTTCAAAATTTGGAATATTCAGAAGTTGCTCTCAAAATGCTTGCGCTGTTCCAATCTCTTTATTGCCAGCTCGAATGGCTGCTATCTTTACAAACCAGCTGTTGAATATGAAAAAGAGTAAAGGATGCGCTGCTAACTTGCACACGTGCTCCTGAAGCGTTGTTCTGACCGTTTGTAAAGAGTAAATTATGCTGAATTACTTTGTCATACAAGGTTATGGGGGGGGGGGCAGCCAGCATGAACGATGGTTGTGCCAGCTATATGCGCTGCGTAGGTCATCTTTTTGAAATTCCATATTTACGCCACGACGGTATCTCGAAGCTTGGAAAAAACTTTGGAAGCTCTGTATGCCCTGATTCTTACTATTCGACACCATTTTCAATCTAGTTTGGAACATACAGCTTCAAATAAGAATTTATGTGCGACATATTGACAACCGCAGGAGTACAGTACGTTTATTGCCAGCTATCGTTCATCTTGGCACACACCCAAGTATGTTCTTTGTGTTGCTCGTTCATCAGGAACCAAGCGAACAATTTTTTCCAAGTATTTTTTATTGTTAGTTGAAATCCGCGAAATTCCAGAAAAAATGGCGTGCAAAGGAGATCTTACACTTTTTTATTCATTTGGCGAAATGTCTTTTTTGGATCAAAGCAAACATTTCTCTTCAACCATCTCACAATTTTTTCTTCTGCTGTGAGCTGAAGGTCAAAAATAGCAGCTTATACTGAAATTGGTAATCTTTTTCCTCCCGGCGCTAATTGTTCTGATTTGCTATCTTTTTTTATTTTTGTAGATAGGACATGGTTCGTGCTATTTACACTAAGGTGGGCGCATCTGAGTAAAATTGCTGGCTAGTATAACTCAAAAAGTTTTCCGTCGATGTACACTGGACAATAAAGCTGCCGAACCAAAAGAGTTGCCGAATTTAGACGCCGAGAGCTTTCAACGCAGCTGCCATACACTTATCGTACGAACTTCAAACAATAGCTTGCGAGACACTTCAAACGATTCGGATTCGGACATAGCGGCGCTGCGCTTTCTGCGTGGTCATTTCGCTTGATTATAGCTAAAGAATGTGCATCTACTTTAGCATTAATTGCTCATTTCATTGGTTTTTGGATTATGAAATGCTGGAGATGAGGCGATTTCTCACAAACATTTGGAAGCATGGTTCATGAATTATTTCCAGTCTGTGATGATGGTGAGACGACAAAACGTAAGCCTATTGTCCATCAGATTGCCCACATATGCTCTAATATCTGGCAATAAGATCAAAAGAAAATATGAAACTTCAGTTGACACCCGTTAAATTTTTTTGCACATTATCTGACGAAATGGAAGAACTCCTCGAAACCCTTCAAAGTTAGTCATGCGTTTTCAAATTACAAAAATATTGATCGGAGTGGTATTCTCATACATCTCCTACTACATTTGCCCAACATAATCCGAATTTATTTCCTGCGCTGAATTTATACGAACGCTGGAGCTTTGCGAAGTATTCGGGGATCTTTCTCAGGGCTCGGCACGAGGTGGCTAGATGAAAATGGAAAAAACGAAGTCCCCTTTGACTTTTGGGAATTTTTACGAAGTCTCCTTTGACCCTCAACCGAAATTCCCCAAAATCCCCCAAAAAACAAAAAAAAACGTCGCCAAGTCGCCAATTTTGCGTCTCTCTTCGGTCACAAAAACGAAACTCCCTTTGCTTTTCGTCCCAAAAACGATATCCAGCTTGCTTGTAAGCCACCTGTGCCGAGCCTTGATCTTTCTACTTCGTTTGAAAAGTTTGAGTTTGCATAGTAGATGGCAATGAATTTACTCTTCTATTTATTTATCTGAATAGAGGAGCGCACACAGATCGAAAACGAGAAGACAAAAAAGTGAACTACCTGCCACAGTCTTACCTTGAATAAGCTTTATTTCTAATTCCCTGTTTTTATGAGTGGACCCTGGATCAAGGAAAAGTTTGTGTAAGAGAGCTTGCAAAGTAAGCTTAACTGATTGTGGGATTGAGTCCAGCACAAATGATTTTTTTTCAATAATTCTAGAGAGCTATGTAAGCATAACAGGCAGTGAAAGAATTTTCGATCGCATAAACATGGAAATGTTGAAAAATAGAATTCATCCGACCAACAAATCAAACCCGATTCCATTTGTTATTTGCTACTTGACACTCTGCAAGAATGAATTTTTTTATGTCCTATCTATTTTGCGCCAATGCCTGCATTTTCTGATGTGTTACATATTGGAAAACTCAAGGATGACATCTTTTCCACCCCAAACGCCACGAGCAAGGAGATTTTCATTAAGCCTGCCTAAGACCACGCCTATTAATCCCTACGCCTATGATTTGCATGCTTTCACATTCCAGCATACAGTGCTGGCCAAAACTATAGATCCACTATAAAAAACTGCCGTAGTTCATCTGCTTTTCAACGAATTGATCTGAATTTTGGTACAGCTGTGTGTTCAACAGGCTTCCATCAGTGACCGGAGCGGATCCCGCTTTCGTTAGATTATTCAGGAGAAAAATCAAAAATTTCGAAAAAAGCAGGCTCGAAGGTTGGCCAAAACTATAGATCCACCTAAGATTTTTGTCCGCTAAAGTAATTCTCGACTTCCAAAGTCTTTTGTGCATATACATAGTCGAAAGTCAAAGCAGTGGCTTTAGTCCAGCTGCGACATACTTTAATAAGAAACGCTTATCTGCTCTTTTTACTTAAAAAATACTTTCACGCGTATTTTGTTCCCAAGAATGTGTTTTTATGGCTAATTTCGCAGTTTCTTGACTGGTTTGGAAGCGATAGGTCTCCATCTATCTTAAAGATGCTCAGCAGTGTGAGCAGTAGAAAAAATTCGAGTTTTCGTATTCAAAGCGCACCCGACACAGACTTAGCCGCGGGCCTGCGCTCGAATTTTTGCCTTCAAAATTGCTGTACGCTATTTTTGCAAGCTCAAAATAATGTAGAAACATTATTTAGCATTATTTACACAAAAGAAGTTTGCAAGTCATAGTCACGATTGTTCGCGAAGTCGCATTTCAACACCTTTTCAAAGCATAAGTCTTGCGGTGTGTTCGGCAATCTCAAAGTACTTACTAAATGGTACCTTCCTTGAATTTTGCCATTGTTTAGCTGCTAATTAGTGAATACACCCTCTACTGTATGTTGTCTTGTGACTCACATAAGCATTATGATCAGAATCAGAAATAACTTTGAGGCTTGTTGCAAATCACTTTTTTGCAGGATGAAGTCCTCAGTTAGCATGCATAATGGGATCTGCATAGACCTGCAACCACTGCATACGCACTCTAATACATACCAACAATGTCATTACTCCAGTTCACGCTCATGACAACAATCCAGAAAGAGTTTGAAGGGAAAAATTCGAGCGAAGGCCCGCGGCTAAGTCTATGTCGGGTGCGCTCTGAATACGAAAACTCGAATTTTTTTCTACTGCTCACACTGCTGAGCATCTATAAGATAGATGGAGACCTATCGCTTCCAAACCAGTCAAGAAACTGCGAAATTAGCCATAAAAACACATTCTTGGGAACAAAATACGCGTGAAAGTATTTTTTAAGTAAAAAGAGCAGATAAGCGTTTCTTATTAAAGTATGTCGCAGCTGGACTAAAGCCACTGCTTTGACTTTCGACTATGTATATGCACAAAAGACTTTGGAAGTCGAGAATTACTTTAGCGGACAAAAATCTTAGGTGGATCTATAGTTTTGGCCAACCTTCGAGCCTGCTTTTTTCGAAATTTTTGATTTTTCTCCTGAATAATCTAACGAAAGCGGGATCCGCTCCGGTCACTGATGGAAGCCTGTTGAACACACAGCTGTACCAAAATTCAGATCAATTCGTTGAAAAGCAGATGAACTACGGCAGTTTTTTATAGTGGATCTATAGTTTTGGCCAGCACTTAGTTCACACTTCCCTTGAAGTTACATAAAATGACAATGAGGTCACTCCTATGTTGGCCCTTTTGCTTATTGGTAGGCTTCTTATCCGTGTGTCCATTGATTTGAGTTTATTGTAGATCCCTTTTAAATTTTTTCTCATCAATTACAGGTTGTATGGAACGTAACTCGAAATAATATACGTAACTTGTCAACTTGTCAGCGTTTAGATCCATTCAATATGCAAAAATATTCTGCATAAGAAGTATGACCAAATCCTAGAAACGTTTCTCTTGTTTCATAAAAACATTAAAACTCCTTCGCAATTTTTTTTCACGATGAGCGCGTTTCGAATTCGATGCTTTTTTGGTAAGATTATTCATTTTTTGTTCGTGTGGGCAAGTATTGGAGAGATAAAACCATGCTCTTTTTAGCAGCGCTTGAGAAATTTATTCCTGCGCACAAATCTTTTTGGCAAAGAAAATCACGCAAATTTTTCTCAATTAGGATACAACTATTTGGCTTTCCCGGCTCAGCCCGGGTCATTGGTCACTTACCTGCAAGCCTCCCCCTTCTTATATGTTGTGGATGACTTACCATGGGACCCGCTTCGACGAAACCGCATCCTCGTGATCCTGATGTGATAATGAGCTTCACAGCCCTTCTTTATATGACTATGGTAAAATGCTTGATTAAACATAATAAGCCCTCATTTCCTTAGAAAAACGTAAACAAATTAATAAATCCGAGAAGGACCCAACGAATCGCTGCAAAAAGTAGCCTACCATCTGCGCAGGGGTCGAAAACATATGTGTGCAAAGTTTCAGCTGAATCGGTTGAGCGGTGCGCGTTTCTAAACGCACATACCCTCCAAACTGACAATTTTTGAGTTTTATATAAATATAGATATTGCCCTTTTCCAGAAGTTTGCTCATGAACAAAACTGAAAAAAAACGAGTGACTTTGATAGAAGCCAAAATAGAGCAAGAAAAAATGATGAAAATCTAGAATATTACGCTTTATGTGGATCACTCTATCGTGTCATGAACAGATAACTTTTAAGCAAGGCTGATAATCCACTGGAGTTCGGCTAATCTCATCGCTTTCAACAGATATATGTACTGCAGAGTACCTTTGAAAAACGTCAAAAAAAGTGTCGTATTTCATATTGGTGCGATAAGCGATGCCAATTATGAACACGCTGGAGTCATGCTATCCAACGAAACATCAGTTAAGGATTTGGGAGTCGTATTCGACGACACCTTAAAACCTGATCTGCAAGTTTCAACTGTTACCTCACGAGCTTTGTCAACTTTATACACCATTTTTCGCAATATCAAAGTCAATGACGTCAAAATACTGGTCAAATTGTACAAAGCATACGTAATCCCTTTATTAGAATATGCAAGTCCTGTTTGGAGCCCCTCTCTTAGGTAGCACACAGAGACCCTGGAGAGTGTTCAGAGAGTCTTTACCAAACTTCTCTTTTATCGTTGTTTTCCGAATTCCTCATATCCACATTTGCTTCCGCATTATGATGAACGCTTGAAAACACTTGGTCTTGAATACCTCTCATATCGTAGAGTTATTCACGATCTTGTTCTTGCATTTAGGATTTACAGGGGAGAAACTAAATTGAGTCCTTCCAAGTATTGGGTATTCAAGCCTAGTCATGGAAGGACCAGCGGATTTTCTATTTATCTACCAACAAGCGGTGGGCGAAATCAGTTTTGCACCTTATTAGAAAGTGATTTCTTTGTTCGTGCATCGAGAATGCTGGAAAAAATACCAAAAGAACTTTTAGCCTGCAAAAATAGTATATCATTCAAACGTGAAATCAAAAAGCTGAACTTGAATGATTTCTTTCCTTGCAGGTAGAGCTTCTCTTCATTGTTTTATGCTCACTTTGCCAGCCACACATGCTTTCCTGACTTCCCATCAGCGCATGGTCCGACAATATTAGTTTATATCTTCTTTGCTAGATTTGTTCTTCTACTAACCCAGATTTTTACCGCATAGTTTCGAGCCCAGCCTACCTACTACCACGGACTAGTTTGATACAGCTTACCAACATAGACTGATGCTTGTCCGATTTACAATATATTTCAAATTTCCTTGGAGCTTTGTACCCTCCCCGGCAAACTGTGTTGGGCGGGGCTGCCAGTATACCCGCCAGCCGAACTTCCGGTTTGCTATTATGAAATCAAAATAAGATCGTTCCTTGCTGGCAAACGAGGGGGCATGGGTACTTCTCCAGAGTGTTTCCCCATAGAGTTCACGCAAGTGCAAGCATTGTTATCTATACGCGTTTACGCAAGCTGCTTCTACACAATCTTTCTCTCATAAGCTTAGTCTGGGCTTGAAAGATGTGGTGAAATGTTCATTATTGTTATGTTTCATGTATTATTAACACATTTTTGTCAATGTTTTGGAACGCCTAGAGCGTATCTAATGAAATGAAATGAAATGAAATGAAAGAATATAGTTTTTCACTTACACTCGAAAGTAGCGCTAAACATGAATTCTTGAATAATTGAGCCAGACTTGTACATGATTTGGAATGTCGGCATCTATGATTTACCTTTAGCAATCGCAATTGTTTGCATCTTTCATAAACAAATCAATCCAACAAATCATGTTAAATGAAGAATACCGTATATTTTCTTTCCTTATGTTGGATAACTATCAGATCTAAGCTGAAAATCAAATGCTTTGAATCAGAAGCTACCATTTGGTTCTTTTTTTTAGAAGAACCAAGCATATAACAAAATCCAACAGATGATTTTATTTTCACCTGTACTTTTGAACTTTTGCTCTGAAAGGAATGAAAGACGAATTAATACACTGCAGCATTCAGCAGTTCATGATAAACATTCATTATATGGTCTATGAACCATCTGTAGCCGTATAGATTATAGAGTCATGAATGTAATGAGAAGAGATGGGAATTGCAATTGATTGCACAGACTGAAATTCATTGCTCTTGTTATGTCTCCACTTGTGAGCAAGAGCATGAAAGTTAAACAAAGGCATTCAGAACTTTTTTTCTCTAGCTTGAGCTAATATTTGCTATTCAGTAGTGCCTGAGCGATGTGGCCATACTATCCGAGTACAAATGGTTTTTTGTTAAGAAAGCTGTGATAATCAGGGTCAAAAACGTGCTTTCAAACTTCGATCGTTCTGTTTTCTACAAAACTGTGCAAGGTGTTTGGAGAGTGCCTAGCCTAAAGTACTTCCAATTTGAATTTTGACGCGCTATTTGTTTTATTGTGCTCATCAGGCCAAGATACCATTATTTTAATGAAAATCAGGTTTCTTTGTGGTTTCTTTGATTTTTCATTAGATGATAATCCATCAATATAGCTTTCCGACCCTCTTTTCTTGAAACGGTTGTTACAAAAAAGGTAAATATAACTCACAAGAAACTTGTTATATTTTTCAAAAGCATTTTCTCTATAGTTTCGTAGATGCTTTCACTTTCGTAGAAGTATGTTCATTTTGAAATACCTTGCCTTGAAGTACAAGAAATGAAGTTTCAGAACTTTTTTGTCAAAAAATCCAGCAAATTCTTATATTTTATCCTAAAGGCCTTTACAGGCGTGCGAAGTTTTTGAAAACGAACACAACGAAGGTGAGAAAGTTGTGCTACAAATACACGATGAAATAAGACTTCCAAAACTTTTCAAACTGAAAAAATTTCGAAGCAAAATTGTGCCGCAATTGTTTGCAAGCTACTGAAGAATTTTTGTAGAATAAAGAAAGTGTAAACTTAGGACTATTTGTAGTATTAAAATCGAAGCTGTTTTTCGTCTCCGCGTTGAAAAAAAGTTGGTCAAATCGTATGCACTCTTCCGCCTCTGCAAGGAAGCTGGAAAAATTATTTACTCTCAAATTTTTTGGGGTATCTTGAGGTGAAGAATATTTTTTTGATTCAGTTGTTTCTAGGTTTAGCGAACACATAAGCAAAAATTGAGTTGAGTCCCGCAGTAGAGGTACTTGAGGCCAAAAACTTCCAAACACGCTGCACGTGATGCTTTCAAACTCATGTTCTTTAAGAGTGTAAATCTCTTTTCAACAAATGAAAAGCTAGTATTGAATGAGATTGTTCCAAAGATTTGGAATTTTCTTTCTATGCTAAAGCATCGTTCACTCTAGTGCGATGGAATGCACGTTCTGAGGTTTTTCATGTATCTTTGTTCAGAAAAAAAGGAGCGAATTTGGTTTTTTTGTCGAGGACTCGATTAGTTCATTTGATAGTCGCCTCATTTGTTTGAAAGTTATGTTGCACTGATGCGTCTCCATCCACTACTACATGCAGTTTTCGCTGTGATCACTGTAAAAGGTATGTTTTGCCTCAAGCATCAGCCTTTGAACGCCAAGAAAAACTTCCACAATTTAGTAACTGCCTCCGACGATGAGGAACGCCTTATGGTTGATGTTTTTCGTGGGTACAATTCCCTTATACAGGTCTACTCAACTTTTTAAAACAGAATTGTGGGCAGATAAATGTGTATAGGTTTTTCAGCCCGTAAAAAATATCTCCGAGACACCGATAATCGTCAAAATAGCCATGCAATTAGTGCTGCTAATCAATGTGGTGGGTGTTGCCTCACTGTTTTCAGATCTGCTATAATCCTTTGCTCGCTGCTTGTTTTTCTTCAGCTGACTTTAATTAGCATTAGCACCCACAGTCATGATGAGAGAGCGACCAAATATGCCAGGATGGTCCAAATGTTTTGCATCTCGCTTTCTGAAGTTTGTAACGGCCCAGTTCAAACGTTATTCATGCGCTTTGAGTATGTGAAAAGAAGAAAAAAAACCACGAAAAGAACTTTCTACTGGAGCTCAAAGCATATGATACTGCTGAAAGATCGAAAAAATCCAAGCTCGTAATAATCAGCAGAAATTTTTGGCTGGTTGAAAAAGAAGTTTTTGAGTCAATTCATGCACCGTCGTACTGGTCTCATAGTACACTTCTTTCTAATTGTGGAAAAGCCTGCTCAAAAGTCGCTACAAAGTGCTGGGCTTTCAGAAACTAGACAATTTTTTGCAGTATCTTTGTAAACATTTTGAAAATGGAAGAGGATACAAGTTGAATGAAGGTGCAGCATTTCCTAACTTCTACCCCATAAAAAACACTAAATCACCTTGTTTCAGGACGAAAAAGATCAGGTTATGCACACCAATGTCTGGCTAACTTTGGTAAGTTTTCTGACGATAACGACGCAGGTATGCACCAGAAATTATCATTGAAGAAATGGTACGATTTCCAAATGCGATGGAATCCAGTAAACTATGGGGAAATACGAGAAATGCGAGTTTCACCGGACAAAGTCTGGCTACCAGATATTGTGCTCTTCAACAAGTACGTTATCAACAATAAGCAGTTTCATAATAGTATTATATCCGTACTCATAAGTTTTCAAGATTACTGTAGTTAAATAATGTGTGACAAAGGCCCCTGTCAGCTTTACACTCTTGCTTTATTTACTCTCATTCATAAACTTTGAGACTAACAAGGGAAGTACTCCGAGTAGCCGTGGCCTTTTAATATGAGATGCATATCATCTGAAGAAGCTTCGAACGCTGATTTCAAATCTGCTTTCCATTTCTGCGGAACGGTCTTCTGAAGAGAGTTATGGAAGCCTGAACATTCTATTTTGGGGGCGCCCCTTGAGTTTGAGGGCGTTGCTATGTGCATTGGTGGTGCAGTAATGTAGTGGTTAGTTGCTGACATTGAAGATGAAAGGTCGGTGGTTCGAATACTGTGCAGAGCGAATTATTTTGCTTATTGATTGTTAGTTTGAAAGCACTCTAAATCGCCTGCAGACACTTACTGTAATGCCTTTGGCATAAGTGACCTAGAAAAACAATTTTCTGGCAAAACTGCTTGTAATGAGAGCCTGAAATTCTATTTGACTTCCTTACTAGTAAAACAGGACCAAACATGGCGTAGCACGTTTGTCACCATATGAAGCTCAAAAAATGCACACTGTCATTAGTCGAAAAGATGTTCTCTCCTGTTTGTGCTAAGATATTACAGTAAGTGTCTGCAGACGATTTAGAGTGCTTTTAAACTCATATTCAAAATGCAAAATGGCTCGCTCTCTACCGGATTTGAACCACCAACCTCTCGCATTCAATGTCAGCAAGTAACCATAACACTACTGCACCACCAACGCACATAGCAACGCCCTCAAGTTTAAGAGCGCCTCCAAAATAGGATGTTCAGGCTTCCATAACTCCCTTCATAAGAGCGTTCCGCAGAAACGGAAGGCAGATTTAAATTAGCGTTCGAAGCTGCTTCAGATGATATGCATCTCATATCAAACAGCCGCGGCCATTGAAAGTACTTCCCTCGTAAGTAACAATCATTGAAAAAGTATTGCTATTGTTGCTATAAGCCATTAGGCTCATGGATTCAATGTCTCAGCGGTACCGACAACATTTGCGCGTTAAGAAATTGTTACTGCGAACACATTTCTAAGTTAGCATTCAGAACCAGTTTCGAGCGAAAATATAGTCTGCAACGCAAAAACGTCTTATTGACTGGCATAATACCAGGCTGCATTAACGTTTGAAAAATAAACCGAATTTTCCAGCGCTGATGGTAACTATGAAGTCTCATTTATGTGTAATGTTGTGATCAATCACAAAGGTGAAATGCTTTGGGTACCTCCGGCCATCTACAAAAGCTCGTGCATTATTGGTCAGTATTTGTAAAAATATCGATTGGTGTTAGATTTACTTTGATGAATTCAGATGTGGAGTTCTTCCCATTTGATGAACAAGTCTGCACATTGGTATTTGGCTCGTGGACGGTAGACCCAAGAAACTTCTTCGTTATTGGGGAAGGTTTTCCCAGTTCTTTTTCAGTATAACGAGAACGAGATCAAGCTCGAGTTTGTCGAAGGAGAATGGGTAGATTTGTCCGAGTACTCTCCCTCTTCCATTTGGGACGTAATGGACGCACCCGCATCACTTGTGAATAAAAGAAGTAGAATAGAATTTCAAGTTAGGATACGGTAGGCTGAAGTTTCACAAGATTCTACACTTGATGATATGTGTAAAAATGCTAATCAGGAGGAAAACGTTGTTTTACACGGTTGTACTTATTATTCCCACAGTGCTCATGGCTTTTTTGAGTATGGCCGTATTCTTTCTGCCGACCGATTCAGGTTTGAACTACGTCAAGCACTACCACTCTCTGTTTAAATAATTTTCTTCTTTACAGGAGAGAAGATGACGCTAACAATCTCCGTACTGCTATCTATTGTTGTGTTCTTACTGCTTGTGTCCAAAATCCTGCCACCAACATCCAGTACAATCCCACTTATGGCTAAGTAAGTATTCAATTAGTGCATTTCAGATTGGGGATGCAGAGCTGAAAGCATTCTTGATGAAGTTTTTTCCAGTCAGGGCTCAATGAGCTCTGGAATAGCCTCTACATAATCTGTAGCACCTTTTTTATTTCGGGGAAATTCTGACATCTACTATTTCCCTTTTTATTCGTCGGTTGGAACTACCACCATTAAAAACTATTTACTATTATTCACTACGAAATCTTAATCGTACATTAGCAGATTCCCGAGATTTTGCAAATACTAAAAGTCACGATAAGCGACCAAAAGCACACTATCACAAGGCTTTAAATTCCTTTATCAAGTTTGCTTACGAAATGAGAACTACTGCAAATTCGATAGATTGCATTGCTTTGTATCGATATTTGTGAAATAAAGAGAGGAGTGTTGCATTGAAAAAAGTAGGAGCCAACTGAGGCACTCCTACATAGGCTCCTGAGAATTCAGTTTTCGAAAAATATGAAATAAAATCACACACCCTTGACATGGAAAATTAAGCCATGTGACCTCCTCCCTATTTTTATTCATTTGTGAAGAATTTCAATATTTGCTAGTTTTCAAAGAGTACCTTCTTCGAAAGCAAGTCTTCCTTGACATTCGAGTTTCTTTGTTCTCAATGAAATTTTATTTGGATGCTTATTCAAAATACTTTTGCTACGCTGGTGGAATTTTTGGTCATTTATATAAGAACACTCTGACCTTATTAACGAAAAATGCTCCTGTAACTTGCCTTTTTGATTGAAGCAAAAGAACATACAATGGGGAAAACCGATACAAAAGGAAAATGCAGTAGTATTGCTTATAAATAGGGCTTTGAAAGGAGAAACAAAACAAACTACTTGTTTTTCTACGTAGACAAAGAACATTTTTTGCGAAGCTTCCTTGATTTGCAAGAGATCTAGGAGTATAGCTTGGGTTACACTCATGAGGAACCATATATGTCGTTACTAATCTCGCTCAGAGCTACAGAAACATAATAGAAACATAATGGAATCACGAAACTATTACACTTTATAGCGATTGCAGCTCCATCCACATCATTGTGATATGAAAATCGTAATTTGTGGGAGAGTTTTATTGGCGTTCCCAAACCCTCGATACATAGAACCACGTACTCTGGTAACCTTCACTTTGAAGACTGTGGGGGGACACAACCTTCACCTGAAAAAAAAACAGTAGTCATCCGGGGCGAATCCCCGGATGACTGCTGTTTTTTTATTGTTGCCCATAACAATAAGCGTTGTTTTTTTTATTGTTGCCCATAACAATAAGCGCAGCAATCCAGACAATGTCCCAGGGAACAGGAACGTCAGTGCGGGGTAAAAATTTAAAGGACGCATCAAAAATTATTTGGCTTCGACGTTCTTTTCGACCTAGTAAAAAAGTAACTTTGCGTTCTCATACTAATTTCTTTCTTGTTTATCTTCTTCTTGACAACCACTAACTGCTAAACACGCTTTTTTGAAACAATCACAGAATTAGCTCTTGTTCGCGTTCCCCCGTGTTGCGAATTGCTGGTCCGGGAGCGAAAATGCACTTTGAAAAGCCGCTAAATGAAAGATTTCAAATCTAATTGCAGCGTTTTTATCCGGTTTTCAGCAGTTTCTTTTGCTTTCTATAACTGTTCTACGTCATTGTCTCTTCTCTGATCTTCTTTGAACAACCTTCACTTTTTGTGAGGTCAGATGTTCAAACAATCTTCACTTTTGACGCCTTGTCTCTAGACTATCGAAGGTATGGGCGTTCCGATATGCTCTCACTCATGATTTTGCAAAGTTACGAAGCTGCAAGAACCAGCGTCCAAAGTTGCCTGTGTGCCAACTCTGTGCCAGCGCCGCTCCAGCATGTGCCCTAATCAAAAAGGGAATGCTACACATGCCTACTGCTGTTTGCTTACAGATACCTCCTTCTCACATTTGTGCTCAACGTTATCACTATACTGGTTACTGTAATCATCATCAACGTGTATTTTCGTGGCCCGACCACTCATCGCATGCCAGCGTGGGTGAGAAAGTTATTCTTGGAGGTGAGGGAAATTTGTGGCCAAGCATCTTTCAAATTTCCTTGTTTAACTCATTTTAGTAGATTTTAAACTTGTTTTAGTGGATGCCTTGTGTAATGTGTATGCAGCGGCCGAAATCTGCTTCGAGAAAGTTATTAGCAAGTCAGAAACGAGGGGTGGCACAACTGCCAGGCTTAGGACAGTTCACTTTAAACCCAGCCACTCATCATCCTTTCTGCCCTAGCACCGATGACAGGTACATAATGAAAGTCAAGGGACGTGAGGAAAAATCAAATGCCTAATCTCACCTTTTACAGAACAGCGTCTGTGAAGGTGCTGAGCAGCTCACCGGAAATCGTCAGAGATCCTTTGACTGCTGCGTTTTATCCACTTTCACCAGACGCTCTGAAAGCTATTGATGCAATCGAATACATAACAGATCATCTAAAACAAGACGAAGAATTCAAAATGGTGGGTAAAAGTAGTTGAATTGGAACAAGTGACTAGACAGTATCTAGGCACCCGAACTTTTTTCGTGAGACGGGTTGTAAGATCTTGAGTAAGTCATATAATAAGTGGCAGCTCATACAATTCTTTATTGCTGAGAGATTTAGCTTTAGACGCTCATCCAAACCGTACAATCAAAAATGGTGGTCGGTCCGCTCGAAATTTCTCGGCGAGGAATGAAGCATATGAATTGCCGCTTGAGTTATACAGGCCCCGTAAAATCCAATTGCCCACACATCGCTTTTAACACCAAAGCGCGGCGCGGCTGGAAATGCTTGGTCCGCCAGGCTTTTTGCGAGCCACAGTGACCGCGCACCCTTCCCACACATATTTTTTTTTAACTTTTGAAGGGAGTTTTCGTCAAGATATACCTTGCATTGACGAGAACAACTTAAAAGTTGAAAAAAAATTTCTTGGAATATAGTGAACGCCGACAGTCGTTCGCGACGACCGCTCGCTTGCGCTGGTGTTCAAGGCACGGCGCGGGCAGCTAGATTTTACGGCGCCTTTATGTAGCTTAGCTAAGGCTTCCCAGCTTGAAGCCCAAAATGAAAGCCCAAGCCCTACATATGGCAGGACAAATCCTGAGCCTGAATAATCATAACGACAAATTTTTTTATTCAGTTTCGTGATGACTGGAAATACGTAGCGATGATTATCGATCGATTACTGCTCTACGTCTTTTTTGGTATCACCGTTGGTGGCACCTGCGGTATACTTTTCAGTGCACCTCATATTTTCCAAGGTAGCCGTTGAAATAAAGAGAGTTTACGTTTAATTTACATAATTTTTGATTATAGGCGTCAACCAAAAAGAAGTGTTACGACGGCTTATCGAATTGTACAAATATGGTGGCAGTCGCAGCTAAATATTCGAAAATTGTGCGGGTTTATTTTTGCTTCAAGTATTTACGTCTTTATATAAAAATATTTTGTCGATAAATGTTGTCTTTGTACTTTGTCTTTGTTAGGACTGAGAAAAACAAGTTTATAAACATTATGAGACAGTCCTAGAAACGCGCGTTTGTTCTTCTTTTAAAAAAGGATCCAGTTGCGCACAGTTGCCAGCTGCCCAGAGGTTATGCTGCCAATATTTTTCGGTCTGAAAATGTATTCTACTGTCTAACTACGGCATGTCTTGTTACTAGATAAAGGAAAAGTAAAACAACTAGTTTTCTAAGTAAGAAAGTACTATGAATGCGAGAAAACAGGATCATTGTGAAGGAAATTAGGTTCTACTTTATTGAAAAAACGAATATCGAAGTTGGCCATGGAATTGGGTTAAATTTATCGTCATCTACTCTGGACACGAGATGCCTGGCGTGTCTTCTTGGAATCTAATAGGTATTATAGGTGCCTGCAGGATCGCGAGAGTCGGACGTGCGTACGGCCATTACGCCACGCACGGCCGATTTCACTGAGGCAGATGCCAGACTTATCCGCTTCGCCGGTTCGTTCGGTTCATAGGTCAAATCACTACACTGTCCAAAAGCAAAGGTGGTCAACCGAATGAACCTGTTCAACAGGATAAGCCTGGCACCTATCTGAGTCGTCGGACGCACATCTGACGCAGGGCCCGGCACGCGTTGCTTTGGAGCATTTTTGGAAACGAAGTCCCCATGACTTCGCGGAAATATACGAACTCCCTCTTGACGTAAAAATCAGTGGGGAACCCCTTATTCAATCAAAATAACAATAATAAGCGAGAAAAGCGCATTTTGAGGTACCTAATCTTATATATGAAGCAGAATGTGTGTCTGTCTCTATGTATGTCTGTCTGTCTGTCTGTCTGTCTATGTGTACGTATGTGCGAAATAGAAATTTTTACTTCTGAACCGATCCGGACCAAACTTGGCACACATACACCTCGGGGCAGGGAGCGTGTCATGAGCTACCTTTCGTTATCGATTTATCGATTTTTTCGCAGAGTTCTTCTACTCAGACAATCGCCGGGGGCAGGCGGTTTGCAAACTCGCGCTTTTCTGCAAGCGGTCAGCAGGATTTTGGGGCGTGGCCAAACTTTCAGCGAGCGGTACTTCCTTTACTGTCTAATGTTCTGCCAGCGGGCAGCAACACAGAATTTTCTGCAGGCGCTCGTCAAATAATCTCTTTCAGCAAACGCTGGCCATAATTTCAGCAGGCGCTCGGACTCTTTTTACGGAGTTTCGGGCATACGTCGAGCACAGGTAAGACTCTGTGTGGCAGAGGTGCCACCGTTGGTTTAATTACTTAAGTTTGAGGTACTTTCTCTCAGCGGAAAGTACCTGAGGGCTGCGCGGTCCTCCGCAAAGGACCGTACGGCCCTCGAAAATCTTGCATATTCTCGCGGAAAGTCTGCGAGAATGCGGCCACTGCGCCGCAGCTAATCTATAAGAAAACCGCGATTGTTCTCCAAGCTTTCATCTAGAATTTCGCTAAAATTCTTCCAAATATCTGCAAGCGGACCGCAAGAAATCAGCGAACTATTTTTCCGGTGCCCGCCGCCCATAAATCGCATGGCCACCCGCCCCAACAATTATCTGAGTATGGGGCTGGGAGTTGGCACAGAGAGGTAGGCATGGCGATTACGAATACAGTATTAGTTAGCAGAATTATCGATTACTTTTATCGATTTTATCGATTTTTTTGCAAAATTTGAGGTACAGGGCTGGGAGTTGGCACAGGGGGTAAGTGGGTTTGGCGATTCCGAATACATTATTAGTTAGCAGAATTATCTATTACTTTTATCGATTTTATCGATTTTTTGCAAAGTTTGAGCTACAGAGCTGGAAGTTGGCACAGGTAAGTGGGCATGCTGATTTCGAAAACAACACAGGGAACAGGAAATGAAGTAGAAGTGGGCACAGGGATTTGCTGTACAGGGATAGGGATGGGACTTTTATTACAGTGTTTTGATAGGGCCAAGCGGAGCCAGGTAAGCAAGCTAGTATAACAAAAAAGCAAAAAGAAAAGATTTCAAGTTGATCAAAGGCTCTGTCATTGAGTAGGGTACCATTTCAGTGCTCAGAATGTCGAAAACCTCCTAGGCCAATCAAATCTGTGGCCTCAACAATCTGGCGATGCATTTTTCGCAACATGTTTTAAAAGACACTGTATGTGATTGGAGCGCAATATCTATCAACGCATAGATTCACACAACTTTTGCTAAAAAAAAAGAGGAGAGGCAATGGTTTGATTGCTCTTTTCACTATATGACAGATTTTTGACAGTTTTAATCGCCCAAATCAAAAAGATCCCAAACTTGTGTAAACTCTCCGATATTTATGCTCCGAACCAACCCAGTTGGTTTGGTGTTGGTCTAGAACCAACAAATTCAGTTAGGACACATAAGTTTTGGGAACTTTTTACAAAACATAGTTTGGAGTAATATTGTATACGCATAGCCCAAATTCGGAGCCATGTAATTGTTTGGGCGCTGTAAACAAGCCATTTGTTTGTTTGAGTCTTGCGTTTGAAATTCGCGCGCTTGCAAAAACACGTTCAACTCGTATAACCTGATATGTTCGTCGTTTTTCTATCGGCGCTTCCCCCGGACCTTATAAAAACGATATCCCCGTTGCTTCTAACTGAAAGATGAAGTCCAGTTTGACCCAGACCATCTGTGCCGGGGACTGATCTGACGTGCGCGGCGCAATGGTCGTACGCACGTCCGACTCTCGCGATCCTGCAGGCCCCTGTACTATCACTCGGAATCCAAAATTCTACTCAACGCAATCATTTACACATGGTCGTTATACAGGATATTCCAAAAAATGTGCTTACTTTTTGACTGTTAATAACCAGGGTCAAGCGTGGGGTGTGACACGCCATACCTGAGTGGTCGTAGAGAGGTCAGAAAGAGGGGGGGGGGGGGCTCGTCGAGGTGATAGTGATGTTAGCGACATTATGTCATTCAACAATGTCTGATAGGCCCATTGTACGCAACACCAGCACATGTTTTGGCCCACCGTCGTACATGCACAGTAAGGATATTGAAAGACTTCTGAAAGCATAAGAGCACCATTTTCGTAATTAGCATGTCAAATAACCTTTGAGGGCCAAGTTTCAAAATTGTGAGGTTTCCACAAATATTGGGACACTGAAGTGAGGTGGTCATTTTCCACACGCTAACTTCGTTTCAAAGGTGAGTAAACTGCTTCTTTTTGCACTCATTACGGGTATTACTACTTCTTTGCTCGTATTAGCCCACTTCAATTAACCTCCAAACTCTGGAATTAAGTGCAAGCCAATATCTCGCTTGTCCTTTTTTTCGCTTTCAATTTCTAAGACTACAGAAGACCAATCAGGCTCAAAAGAAAGTTACGAGGATTAGGCCATCGAATATACATGTTCTTGCCGCCTTTCCTCGCGATTCTCGTAGTGGCGCAGAAGCATATTACCGTAATCCAATATTTGTGTTTTCCATTTGCTTAGCTAAAGAAAAACAACTATATCTTTCCCTAGGAGAAACACTTTCGCACGAAATTCTTGCTATGTGGAGAAGAATGTTTAGCAGTAGCAACCATAACAGCCACAGCTTTTTAGGGGTTGTGTCACATTCCACTAACTTGCCTCCTTAAAGAATTTTAGCGAACAAAATACATACAATATTATAGCATGAGTCTTGTAGTTTTCAAAGGAGTAATTTGGGCCTGATTCATCTTCTTCGCTTTGACTGAAAGCTGGTGAGAGCACAGCCATTGAAGGCGAAAAATGGGACAAAACGGCCATAGTTTGATGATTATTTGAGGGAGGATTCATAGTACGGGAAAAAAGGGAGTAGTACTTTGTATTGGGTACAAAAAAAGTCAGCTAATTCATTTTTGAAGTATAGTCAATCATTGCTAAAACTCGGCCCTTGGTGGTTATTCGACACGATAATTACGAATATGTGCCTAATTATGCATGGTGGAGTCTTTGTGTCATGTCTACGGAAGAGAAGAAGGGGGAGGGGGGGGGGGGGGCATTGAGACAGGAGATAGGTGGGAAGGGCGGTGTATCCGGCGCTGTATGCCACACCACTTGCTCGACCTTGTTAATAACTCTCTTGTAATGAAGTCTTTCAAGAAGCTTTGAGTACCATTTTGTAAAGCTGGCTTCAACTTAGATTTAGACAGAGAGCGAATCATCGTTCGCTCTTCATTACTGTAGGATTACGGTAGAAATTTCAAGTACATGGTATCATTGTGAAAAAGCTGCCGTATCAAAAATTTTCGAGAAATGAAAACTTGTGTAATAAGGTTTTCGCGGACACTGAGTTCAATACTCAACTACGTACAAGTTGCGAAGCTTACTGAACGTTGTGACCGCACTTTTTAGGATTATTGAAAGAACAGCCGCTACTGCCTACAGTCGCTTCATTTCATATGATCATGTGTGCCATTGCCATTGCACACACAGTCCACTTTGGCGTCCTCATCCTGGATTTGCAATCGCAAAAACGCAAGAGACTTACCGATTGTTATCGTTTACATCAATTTGAGGTCACTAGTAACTAAAAAGGAATAAAAATGCTAACAACACCTTGGAAACACTTACCTGAAGGCTTGTTTCTCCCACGAATCCAGGATGGGGACGCCAAAGGTGAACTGTGTGTGCAATGACACACATGATCATATGAAATGAAGCGACTGTACCTCGCATAACTTTTTAATAAAGCATCATGATGGGTTGCGAACTTCACATTTAGAATCAGCAACTCCAATTAGGGCAGCGTAAAAGTTTTCAAGTTGTTTTTTTTCCTTCCTGAGGCAAAAATATGGCCTTTTATTGCTCAAAACCCTCTTTGAAGTTTTTACCGTAATCCTACAGTAATGAAAAAGGGTGATTCTTTCTATAATGTAGATCTAAGTTGAGTTAGCTCTACAAAAGGTACTTGAAGCTTCTCGAA